TGATTAAAATAAATCTTACAAAAACAGAAACGCTTTTCTTAAAGTTCCCTCCCCCTTCCCTAAATCCATCCTCTTAAATAGATCTGTACATTTCATAAAATCACAGATTAACTCCAAATGACAATTTTTTTGGACAATGTTTTTTTAAAAAAAAAAAAACCTAGACTGTTGCCTAGTACACAAATAACCTTATGAACTGCATACTTCAACCTGCCCTATCTACACCAGTCTCAGGAAAACTCATGCCCACTTTCCCTTTCACACCAGTGACATGTTTCAACCTTTTCTAAAGCATACCAGGTACCCAGAGTACTTCACTAACAATCTACAATACATATGTTCAATATTCGTATGCTACCATCAGCAACCCATAGTAAACATATCTAGGTTCCTAGACAACATAAACCAGATCTCCATGAGTTTTCCATATACTTAATTATAAAATGACTTTAAAAAATTAAAACAAAACTGTAAATGGTTACCAGGTTCAAGGGAAGAGGGGAATGGTAAGTTGTTTGACAGGAAGAGTTCACCTGAGATGATGAAAAGTTCTGGAGATGGAGAGCAGAGATGATCTCATAGTAATGTGAATGTACTGAATGTCACAAACTTAGATCAAAGAAAAAGTTTTCATGTATAATAATACATTTGTCTTTATAATAATGCAGCCATAAAATTTTTTATTTTTATTACTTTTTATGGAGAAAGGGACCTAGGAAGACATAAGTGCTGAGGGCCCATGAAAATAAAAATGTGGCCTTATTTCCTACTATGTGCTTATTTCCTACTATGAAGTCATCAAGGCAGAGCAAGAAGGTGAAAATACAACCAGATATGTATGTAAAACATCATTTTTAAAGAGAAATCACACATATAAACAAACTTTATGGGTCTGCATTTTTTGAACTCTAGTGAGACTACAACGGTATCTCAACTATTATATAGTCCTTTTCAAACAATTCTTTATTAACAAGAGCTAGAAAGAGATATCACATTAACATAAACAAATAACTGTGTGAAAATTAACATAATGAGACTTTAAAGGAACCAGAGAGCAAGAACTATTAAGGAAGAAAAAATAAGTGAAAAGGGAAAAGGAAGAAAGAGGAAAGGAAAGAAATATTAATAAAAAAACAAAAAGAACCACCCCTCTATTTAAATTAGCAAAGCTGAGAACACCTCCAAGGTAAATTCACAGATTTGGCACAATGTCAATTAAAATCTCGAAAGGGTAACAAAATATTAAAGAAAAATACTGAGAGAATGCCCTCTAAAGTAAATATGAAAAAAGTTTAAAATGACATGTATCTAAACCTACTGAAACTAGATAACAACAAAATACAAATAAAACACAACTGACAACTGTTTATAGCAACAAATTAGTACATTTAAAATACATATCTAGGTTCTTAGACCACATAAACTTGACCTGAGGACAATATGGATGGAACCTTGAGGGCACTGCACTAACTGAATTAAGACAGAGAAAGACAAACACTGTCTGATCTCACTGGTATGCAAAATCTAACAAAATCAAACTCACAGAAACAGACCCGAGTGGTGGTTGCCATAACGGTGGAGGGGTGGGCAAGGGGTTGGCAAAATGAGTAAAATGGGCCAAAAGGTACAAACTTTCAGTTACAAGATGAGCAAGTTATGAGGGTGTAATGCAGAGCACAAGGAGTATAGTCACAATACTTGGTTGTATGTTTGAAAGTTGCTGAGAGAGTACATCTTTTCACAGTTCTCATCACAAGAAAAAAAGAGGACATAAAATTAACAAATTAGAGTTTCTAGTATAATAATGTTAGCTGCAGAAAAACAAATTGATCTCTTTAAATCCTCACAACATATCATATGGAATTTTTAGATGGGTTCAAATTTATTTTTTAACTAGAAAAATATGGAACACCTCTAGTCATGAAAGGGAGTTTGTCTTTTCATTTCAAGCCACTAACCGCATTATTATAAAAAACATCTACAAAATGAAGAACACCAAACTAAAGATAAAATGAAAACTGATGGGGTGAAGAGAGAAGGGGACTTTCCAACTGCAATGCTAGATAAATGCTTTATCGCCAAAACACACAGGGATGGAGCTAGGTGGATACATCATCCTCAACAAACTGTCAGACAATATCACTTTAATCACAAAGGAGCAGAGGGTACCCACTTATCCACGCCCCAGATACTATTATAAACACTTGGCCTGTAGTAACTAATCTGGCACTCACCATAAACCCCCTATGAAAAAGATACTGTTTTTATTCTCAAGTAGCAAACTAAAGTTACTATGACCACCGGTGACATAGCTAAGCAGTCAGAGCAGGGTCCCAGCCCAGGCACCTCACAGCGGAGTCCATGCCCTCAACCACTAGGCTATTTGCTCTCCTCTGCATAAGAAGCTACAAATCTACATCTACTGGACACATATAAATTACTATTACACAGGACAAACTTCAAACAAGAAAGGTTTTCATAGAGTGCTTTGAGGATTTAGATTTTCAGTTAATGGGATAAGGAAAGGCTTTATGGAAGAAATAATATCCACAGTGTGTCTGGAGGATATGAGACACCACTGAGACTGGAGATGAGAATATTCCCCACTGGAGGAACAGAGGGACCAAAAGCAATACAAAAGGCTGAAAAGCACGGGCAACTCAAATATTTGAGTTGAAAAGAATGTGTTGTTGCTGTTTAGTTACTAAGCCATGACCGACTCTTCTGCAACCCCATGGACTGTAGCCCACGAGGCTCCTCCATCCATGGGATTTCCCAGACAAGAATACTGGAGAGGGTGACCACTGCCTCCTCCAGGGGATCTTCCCCATCCAGGGATCAAAAGTGTATCTCCTGCACTGGCAGGCGGATTCTCTACCACTTAGCCACCAGGGAAGCCCGTTGAAAAGAATAGTGAGTACAAAAGAAGTAAATGAAAAATAAATGATTCAGAGGCCTAAGGAGGTTACTAGGCTTAATTCAGTGGAAGGTAGGGGAGTAACATGGTCAGAGTTGTCACATGGCAACTGGTTATAAGAACTGGACAGAAAGAGACAGAAGGAAATGACAGAAGGTTAATTCACTAGTCTAAGCATGGTGAAGGATGGATCAAGTGAAATGCGGTCACAGAAATAGAGAAAAAGGAATAGATAAGCAACATGCAGTAGCTCCTTGAACTTCAATTAAATTAAGGAAGCAACCAGGCCGGAAAGAACAAGACTGAGGTTACCAAAATGCAGAGACAACAAAGAGGATGGATGAGGCCACACTTGGAGGCCACAACTTTGGGAGCCTGCCAGGAGGAGCACATTACAGGCGAGAAAGATCTCAAGTGAAGGGGCAGAAAGGCCTTAAAGACACACTTTCCTGCCTAATCTGACTTAAGTTCAGGACTTAACTAAGGAGACTCTATGACATCAACATCATGAGAGAGATTATGGATCAAAGTGACAGAATTCAGTAAGAAACTAAATGCAGGGGTGAGCCTGAGGTTTTAAGCAGAAATGAGAATAACCCTGTCATTAACAGACGTGAGGACAAAGGAGGGAATGTAGGTCTAACGCAAAAAGGGACATGAGTTCAGGGTTCTAGGTGGTGAGATTGAGGCTTGTAACATGTGATATTCTGAAATTATGCTGTATCCATGGGAGTAGAGCTTAAGTACAGAATCAGAGCTGAAAATATAGAAGTCACATAAAGATACTTGGAAGCTGTGAGAGAAAAAAAGAAAGAAAAAGTGCTGGGTAGAAAAAAAAGGGTCAGAGAAAGTTTAAGGAACTACGTCTATTTAAAAGGGATCGAAGAAAAGCCTGAGAAGGCACCATCAGAGGGTTAATACTAAAACCACGAGAATCCAGCATCATTTAGCAACATGATTTTACAAGGAAGTATGCAAATAAGACAGTGCTTGTGCGGCACAAAGACATAAATGTGGCTACTCATAACTGGACGTTATTAGCCCAGGAATGGAGAAAACCATTACTCTGTATACGCCTTGTAAACCACTACTCAGTTAATCGCCTTGCTGCACTGTTTAGAAAGCCCTGTATTACCAAAAAGTCTGCAGGCCAAAAAGTTTACAATTCTATTTCCCTAAACTGTCTCTTTCAGTATCAGTGATTAGTTGAGTCGAATGTGCAGATGTGACAAAGAAGAAAAGAACACAGAAATAACCAAAAAACTTGGTATCTGAGAAATCAGTGATGACTTTAAAGATCAGTGGGAAAAGAAACAACCTAAATATCCATCAACAGATGAGTGCATAAAGACTGGTGTGTATATAATGGAATATTACTTGGCCCCAAAAAAGAATAAAATAATACCACTTGCAGCAACATGGATGGACCTGGAGATAATCATACTAAGGGAAGTAAGCCGGAAAAAGACAAATGCCATATGATATCACTTACATGTGGAATCTAAAATATGAAACAAATGAACCTATACATGAAATAGAATCAGGGACAGAGAGAACAGACTGGTGGTTGCCAGAGTGGAGGGGATGCGAGGGAGGGACAGAGTGAAGTTTGGGATTAGCAGATGCAAATTATTATACAGAGGATGGCTAAGCAACAAGGTCCTACTGTGTAGCACAGGGAAACATATTCAATATCCTGTGACAAACCACAATGGAAAAGAATGAAAAATACATATAGGTAAAAGCGAATCCCTTTGCTGTACAGCAGAAATTAACACAACATGTAAATCAACTATTTTTCAATAAAATTTCTTTTAAAAATCAGTGGGAAAAACTAGATTTCAGGAGACAAATATGAACAAGGGTGAATAATTGAAATATCGACACTGTTACTGGTCATGCTGTCCCTACTGTTACAAGCAGTAACCAAATGGGATGATCCTCAAATCTTGCTAGTGAAAACATTCTTTTGTCAAACCAAATTGTGACTCTAGTAACAAGCTTTACCTTCTAACTCCAGTTTTATTCCCATTAATAAATAGGATGAAAAAATAAAAATCCTTTGAAACCCTGCAACACTTACCCAGTGCGAGACTGACCGACTTTATCACAAATATCCAAAATGAGGCCCCAATCCTCAGCAGTATTCATCTCACTGGTTGCTTTCTCTGTATGTTACAAGAAGAAATTGCAGAAACATTATTTCTAAAAAGGCTTTAAGAGGTAAATGACTACATTCAAATTACCAAACTGCAGTATAACCAAGTACCAACAAATCACAATAGCTGTCAACATCTGGTTAATGAAATATTTAAGTCTGTCTTTAAAAGGAGGTGGGGCACCTTTGTTACCTATCACAATTATTTTCCCCACTTATACTTCATTTGTTTGTTACTTGGTATTTAAAAAAGGGGGGGGGCACTGATTTTTTTGTTATAAAAATGCACATACACACAGGTCTATCCCTATCTGCACACAGAAAGACCAAAATAAGAACTCTTTCATTATCAATAGTTAATAGTTAGCTTCATTAACTATTTACACAGTTAATTCTTAGCTTTACTTGCCCTCGAAGGAACATGACAAAGAACAGGTCTCTACCAAAATGTTTCAGAGAATCAAATTAACTATTTGTTGAGTTCGGATTCTGAGAAGTAGGGTGGAGGGGGCACTGAACAAAAGAAAAGCAAGGTTTAACTGAAAATTTTCCCTTAAATCTAAACTTGACAAGTTAAAAAAAAAAAAAAGAGGTATGGCAGATTAAACCAAATCATTAATTTAGGCCCCTTTCTTCATTACAATAAAAGAATTTTAATGAAAACACACAAGGAAAAGGAAAACATGAGAGGCAATAACAGCAACAATATCTCAAAAGCTACAGAACACTGATCCGTGGCTAACTACTGAGAAGACCCGAGAAAGGTGAACCATGTATTGTTAGCAAGAAAAAAGGCTGAAGAACTAGTCTGCTGAGTCCTCAGGAAATTCAACTACTGCAACTGAGAATGAAGAAAAAGAGCACTTCCGAGTTAGCAAAGTGGGTTAATGCCGTCTGAAATGCAGGCAGTCCCTATTTCCTCACTCAAGGGCTCTAGCAATCACTTCCCTATTCCAAGAAAATGAGTGATGGCTTACTTTCTGTAGGCAAAGCAAATTTTTTCTAGACAGGGAGACACCAAGTATAGTTGAAACTTAGGCAGCAAAAATAAGGATTTTTTTTTTCCAGTTTTCCAGTCCAGCATGTAAGCATGGAAGTATTCACTTCATCCTAACAAGTAAAACACCGAACAAAGTGAAAAACCAACAACTCTTCTTAGAGCCCTCAGAAGTAAGGTCACAAGGCAAACTGATGCCCCCAAATTAGACATACAGATAGGCAGATACACAGAACCACAACTTAATAGAGCAGAAGCTCATGAGCACAAACATCACCAGGAACCAGTACCAGGGTAGGAGAGTCTACACTGAAACTATCAAATGCTGAAGGCGAAGTGTGCACAAGTCTGAGTTAAAACGCCAGAAGAGGTGGCTTAGAACACTTCCCATACTTTGAGTTTCAATTCCACCGTTCTTCCAGGTTCTCAAGGTGAACATCACAGAAAATTTCCCCTATTTTTCCAGCAAGGGGAGAGAAACTGACCATTCTGAAATACACCAGAGTATTCTCTTCCTAAAAAACCCTACCCTCAAGAGAAATTATTTTATCAGTCCTAACCAACTAGTGTTTTACCAGAGATTAACACAACTGTGGGACCCCAAAGCTAGCTTGTTCCAACCTTCCATGTGGGAGAAGGGGAATATCCAACTCCAGCCCACTGGAGCCATCCCATCCCACTGATGGGATGAGCAGGGAGGGGATAGACACTAAGAAGCATGTGAGAATTCACACCCCAGGGGAGCAAGGCTCACTGAGCCCAAATCACAGGACAGTCGGCACCTGATCATCACACCACTAAAGGCGGGTGTCCCTTCGTCTAGTAAATCATATCCAGCTGCTGGCAAGCCACACTATAAGGCAAAGAGCACAATTGGAAGGGCATCAGAGTAGTATCAGAACCAAACTCTGACATGAGAAGGATGTTGGAATTATTAGACCAGAATTTTAAAGAATATGATAATATGCTAAGAGCTCTAAATGGAAAAAGGAGGTAATATGCAAGAACACATGGACAATGTAAGCAGAGAGATGGAAATTCTAAAAATGAAATACTAGAGATCAAACAATAATGTAATATAAATGAACATCCTTGGATGGGCTTATCATCAGTCTGGATACAGCTGAAGCAAGAATCTCTGAACCTAAGGACATATCACTAGGTATTTCCAAAACTGAAAAGCAAAAAGAAAAAGTGACGGGCGAGGGGACCAGAACAGGGGGTGGGGACACTGGAACAGATTTTATCCAAGAGCTGTGGGAAACCATAAAAGCGGTGACAAAGGAATCACTGGAATACTAGAGAAGAGGAAAAGAAAAAGAAGAAATATTTGAACCAAATATGACTCAGAATCTCCCCCAAATTAATGTCAGACACCAAACCACAGATCCAGGAAGCTCCAGGAACAGCAAGTACAATAAATGTCAAATACAGAAACAAACCCTCTACACCCTGGCATATCATATTTAAACAGCAGAAAATCAAAAATAAAGGGAAAAAAAAGAAGCCAACAGATGTAGAGAATGGATTGGACACAGCGGGGGAAGGAGAGGGCGGGACAAATCAGGAGGGAGGGTAGCACTGCCATATGTACACGACCACCTGTAAGAGAGACAGCTAGCGGGCAGCTGCAGCGTAACAGGGGGCTCAGCGCGGGGCTCCGTGATGATTTAGAGGGGTGAGACGGGGGTGCAAGGTGGAAGGGAGGTTCAGGAGGGAGGGGATACAAGGATATGTGCTCTGTGATGATTTAGAGGGGTGAGACGGGGGTGCGAGGTGGAAGGGAGGTTCAAGAGGGAGGGGATACAAGGATATGTGCTCTGTGATGATTTAGAGGGGTGAGACGGGGGTGCGAGGTGGAAGGGAGGTTCAAGAGGAAGGGGATACAAGGATATGTGCTCTGTGATGATTTAGAGGGGTGAGACGGGGGTGAGACAGGGGGTGCGAGGTGGAAGGGAGGTTCAAAAGGGAGGGGACACATGGATACTCTTAGCCAATTCCCGCATGTTGCTGTATGGCAGAAACTAAGATGGCATTGTAAAGCAATTATTCTCCAATTTAAAGTTTTTTTAATTAAAAAAAAAAGCCAGAAGAAAACATCTTACCTATTCAGAAGTAAACAATGATTATACCTGACATCTCAGAAACCATGCCAAGCGGGAGAGAACGGAATGAAAGAGTATTGTGAGAAAATAAGCACCAGTCAAGGATTATATATGCTGTGGAATTATCCATAAGGAAAAGACACAGTCTTTCTCAAATAAAGAAACATCAAGGGTATCTGTTGCCACCAGACTGGCCTTGCAAGAAATGTTTCAAAAGTTCTTCAGGGAGGATATAGGAGACTTGCATACATGAATGTGTGTGTGTGCAGGCATATGCATAAATGAAATGAAACACAGCAAGGACACCAGGAACAAGAGAGAGAAATTAGGAACATGAATATTTTGTTACTAGAAGGTGAGCTGTACTATCACTGAAGTGGTACAATGTTATTTGAAAGTGAACTTGGACTAGTTGTAAATGCATATATATATTGTAAACTCTTAGGCAGTCACAGAAAGTAGAAAAAATATATATAACTAATATGCTAAAAAAAGAAAATGGAATCATATAAAATATTTGATTAAAACTCCAAAGGCAGGTCGAAGAGTATCAGAAACAGAAATAAAGAACAAGGGTTACAACTAGAAAATTGTAACAGATATGGTAGATATTTATCCAATAATATCAATAATCACTTTAAATGTTAATGGTCTAAATATAGGCAGAGATTGTCAGAGCGATCAAAAAATTAGATACAATTAAATGTCAACTACAGGCAACTCACTTTATTATTTTTTTATTTATCAATTTTTATTTTTTTTTCCATTTATTTTTATTAGTTGGAGGCTAATTACTTTACATCATTGCAATGGTTTTTGTCATACAATGAAACGAATTAGCCATGGATTTACATGTATTCCCCATCCCGGTCCCCCCTCCCACCTCCCTCTCCACCCGATCCCTCTGGGTCTTCCCAGTGCACCAGGCCCAAGCACTTGTCTCATGCATCCAAGCTGGGCTGGTGATCTGTTTCACCCTAGATAATATACATGTTTCGATGCTGTTCTCTTGAAACATCCCACCCTCACCTTCTCCCAGAGTCCACAAGTCTGTTCTGTACATCTGAGTCTCTTTTTCTGTTTTGCATATAGGGTTATCGTTACCATCTTTCTAAATTCCATATATATGTGTTAGTATACTGTAATGGTCTTTGTCTTTCTAGCTTACTTCGCTCTGTATAATGGGCTCCAGTTTCATCCATCTCATTAGAACTGATTCAAATGAATTCTTTTTAATGGCTGAGTCATATTCCATGGTGTATATGTACCACAGCTTCCTCATCCATTCGTCTGCTGATGGGCATCTAGGTTGCTTCCATGTCCTGGCTATTATAAACAGTGCTGTGATGAACATTGGGGTGCACGTGTCTCTTTCAGATCTGGTTTCCTTGGTGTGTATGCCCAGAAGTGGGATTGCTGGGTCATATGGCAGTTCTATTTCCAGCTTTTTAAGAAATCTCCACACTGTTTTCCATAGTGGCTGTACTAATTTGCATTCCCACCAACAGTGTAAGAGGGTTCCCTTTTCTCCACACCCTCTCCAGCATTTATTGCTTGTAGACTTTTGGATAGCAGCCATCCTGACTGGCATATAATGGTACCTCATTGTGGTTTTGATTTGCATTTCTCTGATAATGAGTGATGTTGAGCATCTTTTCATGTGTTTGTTAGCCATCTGTATGTCTTCCTTGGAGAAATGTCTGTTTAGTTCTTTGGCCCATTTTTTGATTGGGTCATTTATTTTTCTGGAGTTGAGCTGGAGGAGTTGCTTGTATATTTTTGAGATTAATCCTTTGTCTGTTGCTTCGTTTGCTATTATTTTCTCCCAATCTGAGGGCTGTCTTTTCACCTTGCTTATAGTTTCCTTTGTTGTGCAAAAGCTTTTAAGTTTCATTAGGTCCCATTTGT